CCATTTGCCCCCCTTTCTCGGGTTCGGCATCGAACTACAAGAACAGACAGAGAGACTCAAAGAACCGAGTGCAGCTGCAAGAAAAGCTTTACAAACATCTGTGACAGAACAGAAGTTAAAGTGACAAGGGCTTTCTGCACCTCCTTTGCCATTGCCAGCTCCCTATATCCCCATACAGGAGCAGGTTTCCCCAAGCCTTTTTTTTTCTGTCGCTTCCACCACCTCCTCAAACTCTATTTCAGGGTGGGGGGAGGGGGTGAAACCGTGCTGGAGAGATCTGTAAATCTGCTGTTTGGGAGATCAGGGGCTGACGAGAGTAGAAGAGTCTGGAGCAGAGATAGAAAGAGATTCTGTAAGATGCTATGATAAAGAAAAAGTTTAGTTGTTAACTCCTAACGCATTTCCAGTTATAACAGATGCGGGAGACAATAGAAGCTATGTTCAAGTTTTGAGCTGGCTTCCCGCCAAGTCCCCAAAACTCGACAACAAGGACCCGCCTCCCAGAGAGGGAAAAGAGGGAAAAAAAAAACAACTAAGCAGCCAAAGCTATAGCAAATATATATATATATATATATATATATATATTTTTTACATCAGATACACAAACAGAAAATACCACACACCTGGGGGGGGGGGGGGGAGGGGGAGGGAAAGGGAGAGAGACAAAAAAGGGGCAAGGACCGAGCAAGTCAAACAGCCAGCCGAAGGCAAACTAGCAGAAATCTCACCACTTCCCTTCGAACAGGCAGAATGACTTGACGCAGCCCAAGGCTCTCCTCTCACGCGAAGCGGATAGCGGCAGTCACTGTAGGCCTTGGCTCCAGATAAGCTCGACCGAAACAGGGACCCACCGTTCTCGAACCTCGCCGGAGAGGAAGAGGGCGCGATCCCTCCCACTGGCTTTATTTATACCTCCAGTTACGTAAAGGAATAGCATGGAATACTTCCGTGATCACTTTTCTAGTTCCTTCCTGGTTACAAGTTGGTCTCCAGGAAGACCTAGGGTGAAACCACTACAAGCTATTAAATATTAAATTAGAAGATGCTAAAAGAAGCTAAATCTATGATTACTCAGTATGGGTTGAGATCGAGTTATATTACATCTGTGTTACAGCATTTTAAGAATAAGTATTATCTCCAATAATACGGATCTTTTTTTTCTTTCTTTTTTTCTCTTAACTCTTGAAACTTTATCTGAGATTCTAGTAGCAAGAATGCTTGTATAAACTGGAAACACTGAAGTCTGTAAGAGTCTGTACTGTTCCTTGCACTGCAGTATTCTAGATTTTTTTAGTTTGTAATGATCTTTAACTATTTGAGAAAACTTTGAAGTTCTTGGACCCCCAGAAGTTACAGCACTATTGATTGAGAGAGTTTAAACATAAAAAATGTTCCCTGAATGCTTACCTTATTTGTATGCTCATTTGAGCTAAGAAAACTGAAAAAGGATTTTTTGAATTTAGGCAGATGAAATATTTTATAAGAAAAGCAAATACTGTTGCAACCCAGAGCAAATGTTACCATGACTTATGCAAAATATGTCCTTTTTCAATGAGGAGTAGAAATTATAGACTCACTCTTTTATAACATTATCTTTGTGCTGACTATTCACAGTAACACACTAAGCAGCACAAAACTCTCACTAAACACCTATAAACTCCGTCATGTGTATCACATCTTATGCATTTCAAGCAAACTTTATCTAGAAATAGAAACTCTTACTGAGCTTTCTTTATCGGTTTCTATTTTCTTTATTTAACCTAATTGAAAGCTACTTTAAAATGTATTGATGACATCATCATTTGGATAAGATTCTGGACTGATGGTTCTAGGATCCAAACTTTTGAAATCAATGAAAGTTCTTTTTGAAGCAGGAAATTACCTTTTCTTGCAACTTTTTTCTTAATTTAAAATTGCTTATTTGCATTCTAGAGATTTTAAGCAGAGAATGCTCAGTATTCCTTTTGATTTTACACTCACAAATGCTATGTATCACATTTTGAATGAGACATTGAAATTTTAGAGTTGCTGAGAGGAATTAAGGCTGTAGAAAAAACCTTTTTTTTACAGTGTAATCAGATATGATTTTTATCAGTTTTTCAATCCTGTAGTTTCATTTTTTCACTGGATGGTTCCTCAGCTTTAACAAATCCTATTGTTTTATAGTTAAGATCAATTGAAGTTCTGGAGTTTTATTATACATCCCAAAGCAACTATTGATACATTACTTTTCTTTTGCAAATCGCATTTAACTGTAGACCTAAGTGATCTATAGGAATTCTTTTCTTTTTACCCATGTATCTTATTTTGTACTTATTAACTATCTGTACTTTTCAACTGAAACGACTTTTGTAACACAACTGTGAATTGTAATCAGAAAAGCAATACAAGCAGTACATGATGATAAGACAGCTCCATCTTTTACTACAGTACGACAGGAGCTAACAGAACCATTTGGGAAATTTATCGGTTGCATCATGTAATTAATACCCATCCTGACCCAGATGAGAACATGAAAGTAGAATTTTTGAACATGTTAACCTATAATTTTATCAGAATTGTTAGAAGATGTAGATAGTATGTAGCATACTCTGTTATGAAATAGAACTGTTATAGATTTTTTGTTATTAGCGCAAAGGTATTAAGTAAAGAGATTGATAATTCAAGAATTCTTAACACACTTTTGCAAAGCGAAAAGGGGGACAGCCCTCCTCTATTGACCTGCAAAAGTGTTTCATGTGCACACAAGTGTTCTCTGGTTATCTGCATGATGGATGAAACCTTGGAAAGAAACTGGTTCTTCAGAACAAGGTTGATGTTGTTCCTGCAGGTTGTTGCCCGTAACAAAAAAAAACACAAACCAACAGAGTGCCGGTTTATGTGGTGCTTTATTCAGGGCCCGGGAACCTGTGGACTAGCGTCCCAAGTCAGGATTCCGATTCCCTCATTTTTCGTACAGCTTTTATACTCTCACACAAACATGTTTACATGCAGTTCCCACAGCAAAACAGTTACACTCAGTTACACACACTAACTCATATTTCATACTGATAATAATTAGTAATCATCCACTCTAATCATAAATCTGTTTAAGTTGTCTTACCCTAACAATTAGTAAACATCCACTCTTAATCATCAATCTGCTTAAGTTGTCTTACCCCTAGAAACTGTTTAACAGACCCTTACCACATCCTAGGTAACATTACTACATCCTAGGTAACAAATCATTATATACATGCTTGACTAAGTGCTTTCATTATTGTTTCCATTTCTATAGCACATTCCATGCTCACGAACAAAGTTACTAACTTACTACTTCGGAGTGTTGCTAACTGGGCCTACTCTCCTACTAAGCCTTAGCCATTCTACTACCAATTGCTAAACTTTAGTTATTTTGCAACAAGGTGACTGTGACAACACCAGAAGTTGTTGTAGCTAACAGTCTCTTCAATATTATTAAAGCACAATTTTTCAGTATTATGAGCACAATTTTTTCAATACTTTTAAGGCACATAATTTTAGAAGTTAAGAGGTATAGAAGTTATAGAGGGTAAGAATTTAAGTATAATGTATGATCTTTGGATTACTCACTAGGTATTGGTAAAAGAAAGTTTATCTATCTGGTTAATTTTATCTGTTTAGTTAAGAAACTTTAACATTATAAGGTACTAGAGAATAATTATGGTTTCTTAGTTCATAAAACACAGTGAAATGGAATTCAAAAGTATGTTTGTGTGAGAATGTGTTTGGATGATGGTGGCCACCGTGTGAAAGTGAATGAATGAAAGTGTATGCATGTATGTGTGTGAATATATGAACAAATGCACAAACAACTTTGGACACAAACACCTTAAATAAAAACAGAAGACACATAACCCTAAGTTGAATGGAGTTCCATTTGCAGAAGTGTTTTTAGATTGAATAAAAGCTTTCTAGAATAAGCCCTATATTTAGAAACACCTTTAAGCACAGAGTTAAGAGCACAAACTTTCAGATCAATAGGTTGTTAAGTTTGTTAATGGTAGTGGTATTATTATATGTAATTGTGTTTGTTAATATGTTATAGGTATGATGAAGAATGTTGCAGGAATGCAGTAAAAATTGTTCAAAGCAGAACTGGGGAATTGTCGCTGGAACTGAGAGATTTCTCTGAACAATTTTTCCTGCACTCTGTAGGTCTTGCTTGCCATGGAAGTGACAAACTGTATTGTTTATACTTATAGGCTGTGTGAAAATATGTAATGTTTATACTTGTTAGCTGTGTATCTAATTATAAGGTTTGAGAACATAATATGTTTATAGTAAGAAAACCTTGAGAACCTAGAGATAAAAGTACACCTGCAGATTTAGTAAAACCCTAAAAGCAGATTAATTAGAAAGAGGTTTCTATGCCAAGGATGATTTCAGGTTGCATGGACAGAGCCTCAGATCCAATAAACTGAGAGCATGAGATGCATGCACAAACTGAGCTATCCAATCATCTTGTTGTGAGCATGTACCCTGAGCAAACTAAAATGTATATAAGTTAACTGATTTAAATAATAAATTGGACATTGCTTTGATCATGTTGTTTGTGTTGCTATGTCTCTGAACCTCCTCATCCATATTATTCTATACCATCCATGTCATGCCCAAATTAACACCTTTTAAAAACTATATACATATATATATACAATGAAACATTACAGACCATTCTCACTTAAAATTAGGTCCCCTTGTGGTACACAACGTCTCTCCCCATCTTTTTGCATTACCCACCAAGTGAAACCAGGCCCTTGAGCAAAAAAATCCCTTGAATAGATTTGCCTTTGCTTGAGGTGGGACTAATCCAAACAGTCTTTCCTAACATACCTCTCATATGCACCATGGGGACTTTATCTCCATCTCCAGTATGCAAGGGTTCTGATTGGGCAGGGCCAACTTGACTGATGGAACCTCGGGTGTTGACCAACCAGGTGACCTTTGCTAAATGCACCTCCCAGTATTTGAAAGTCCCCCTGCCCAGTGCCTTCAAGGTGGTTTTCAGCAGTCCGTTGCACCGTTCAACTTTTCCAGCAGCTGGTGCATGGTAGGAGACATGATACACCCACTCAGTGCTGTGCTCTCTGGTCCAGGTGTCTCTCAGGCCATTCTTGAAATGGGTCCCATTATCAGACTCGATTCTCTCCGGGGTGCCGTGTCACCACAGGACTTGCTTTTCAAGGCCCAGGATGGTATTCCGGGCAGTGGCATGAGGTACGGGGTATGTCTCCAGCCATCCAGTGGTTGTTTCTACCATGGTCAGCACATAGCGCTTGCCTTGACGGGTTTGGGGGAGCGTGATGTAGTCAACTTGCCAGGCTTCCCTATACCTGTATTTTGACCACCGTCCACCATACCATAGAGGCTTCACCTGCTTGACCTGCTTGATGGCAACACGTCTCACAGTCATGGATAACCTGTGAGATACTGTCCATGGTTAGATCCACCCCTCGGTCACGAACCCATCTGTATGTTGCATCTCTCCCCTGATGACCGGAGGCATCATGGGCCCATCGAGCCAGAAATAATTCTCCCTTGTGCTGCCAATCCAGATCTACCTGAGAGACTTTAATCCTGGCAACTCGGTCCACCTGCTCATTGTTCTGATGCTCTTCATTAGCCCAACTCTTGGGTGCATGAGCATCTACGTGATGGACTTTCATGCTCAGCTTCTCTACCCGACCAGGGATGTCCTGCCACATCTCAGCCGCCCAGATGGGTTTCCCTTGGCGCTGCCAGTTGGCCTTTCTCCATTGCTCTAACCATCCCCACAGACCACCATCCATGAGTCTGTGTAGAGATGGTCTCGACCACTTCTCTCATTCAGCTATATCCAAAGCCAACTGAATGGCTTTAAGCTCTGCAACCTGACTTGACCCACCTTGTCCTTCGGTCGTTTCTGCGACTCGCCGTGTGGGACTCTATATGGTTGCGTTCCATTTTCGGTTTGTCCCTACGATGTGACAGGAACCATCTGTGAAGAGAGCATATCGCTTTTCATCTTCTGGTAGTTGGTTATACAGTGGGGCCTCCTCAACCCGTGTCACCTGCTCCTCTTCTTCTTCAGAGCATAGTCCGAAACTCTCACCTTCGGGCTAATTGGTGATAATTTCCAGAATCCCAGGGCGATTAGGATTCCCTATCCGGGTTCGCTGTGTGATCAGAGGGATCCACTTACTCCATGTGGCATCGGTGGCGTGATGTGTAGAAGGAACTCTTCCCTTGAACATCCTGCCCAGCACTGGTAGTCGGCGTCCCAGGAGGAGTTGTGCTTTGGTGCCAATCACTTCTGAGGCAGCTCGAACTCCTTCATAAGTAGCCAGGATCTCTTTCTCACTTGGGGTACAGCTGACCTCAGATCCTTTGTATCGTCAACTTCAGAATCCCAACGATCGTCCTTGGGTCTCCCCAGGCACTTTCTGCCAGAGGTTCCAGGAAGGACCATTTTCCCCGGCTGCAGTGTAGAGCACGTTCTTCACATCCTGTCCTGTCCTTACTGTCCCAAGGGCTACTGCATGGGCAATCTTCTGTTTAATCTGTTCAAAGGCTTGTTGTTTATCGGGGCCCCACTGGAAATCATTTTTCTTCCATATCACAAGGTAGAGAGGGCTTACAATCTGACTGTACTCAGGGATATGCATCCTCCAAAAACCCACGGGGCCTAGGAAAGCCTGTGTTTCCTTCTTGCTGGTTGGTGGGGACATGGTTGCTATTTTGTTAATCACCTCCATTGGAATCTGGCAACATCCATCTTGCCACTTCACTCCTAAGAACTGTTTAATGGCAAAACCAGCTCTTAGGAGAATCTGGATTATCTTCTCTCCTTTCTTGAAGACTTCCCCTGCTGTCTTCCCCCATACAATGATGTCATTGACGTACTGTAGATGTTCTGGAACCTCACCCTTTTCTAGTGCAGCCTGGATCAGTCCATGGCAAATGGTGGGACTGTGTTTCCACCCCTGGGGCAGTCGATTCCAGGTGTACTGCACACCCCTCCAAGTGAAGGCCACGTGGAGTGTACCCTCTCTCCTTAGCTAGGGGATGCCTGCTCCTGATAGCAGAGACTCTTGTTTGTCCTGGTGAGATATGGAAGATCCCTTCCTTAATTTCCTCTCTTAGCTTCTGATGGCCCTCTTCAGTCTTCTCTTCCAGGCTTTGGACATGTTCGACCAGTTTGGTTTCCACAGATGAGAAGTGGGTTCATAATGGGGCGGTGACAGTGTCTTCATAAATCCTGAGTTTACTAACTAGTGCGCCCACCTTGTCCTCTCCCTCCCTCCATTGCAACGTTGCTAAGTAGTGGGAATACATTTCTGGCCCGAACCGTGCAAACTTTGACCACATCTGGGAAGTGCACTGTACACCATCTGGACTTTTAGGGAATCTTTCGTCCTCTGAAAAGATTATCTCCAGTACAGTTAATTCCCTTAAGCACCAGATACCTTGTTCAATTGTGTTCCATTGCTCTTGCTGTATGTGGAGGTCCTTCTTACAAAGATATCTCTCCCTCACACTGGACAGCAGTCATTGCCAGAGGCTGAGAGTTTCCTCCCTCCTTCCAATCCCCTGATCAATGACTACATCTCGAGACAGGGATCCCAGTTGCCTTGCTTCACTCCCATCTAGAATTGTATCGTTAGCCGTGGCATCCCAGATTTGGAGTAGCCAGGTCAGAATGGACTCATTCGCCTGTCGTGTGAACTCTCTCCGGAGCTCATGTAGCTCACCCAGGGATAGGGACCGAGTGATTATTTCTGACTGTCTCCTCCAGTGGATGTGAAGGTCCTGCCTCTTCGTCATCATTCCCTATAGGAACTGATTTAGTCTTTTATTTCCTTTTCTGGACAAGGGTGACTGCTATTGGTTTTGGTTGTCCTTCTGATTCCTTGACGGTTTGCATGGACACGGTGCCGGTTGGTTTATTTCTTTTTCCCTCTGACTCAACTGTGGTTTGGGTGGACATGGTGCCTGTGGATTTGCTCCTTCTCTCCTCCCCCTGACAGTGCTGTACCATGTCAAGTAGTGTCCGGTAGGCAGTGGCCAGGGCCCAGCAGGTTGCTGTGAGCTGACCATCTCTGGAGCTACCAGAACATTTTTCCTTCACCAATCTTATCATGCTAACAGGATCCTGAAGTTGTTCGGGGGTGAATTTCCAGACCATTGGGGGAGAGAACTCCAAATACTGGTCGATGTCCTCCCACTTCCCGTGCCACTCAACATTATCCACTCCCAGGGCAGGCATCCAAACAACCTCCCTAGAAGGCCCTGTTCTGACCCTAAGCATGGTGTAGACAGTACAGAGCAGACAAAGCAACACTAACAACGACATTACGCTGTCTTTAACATCAAAAGGAAACTCAATATTTTTAAAGACTGTTGTAGCAGGTCTGAAGGGGAAGGAGGAGGTGAGAGGCTGGAAACAACCAATCCCTCCTGTTCCCCCAAAGGGCAGAGTGCGATTTTCAATGAGACCCCAGAGGTAGCAACCCAAACCAGGACAGGCAAACAAGACTGAATACACATTCACAATGAAACTCACTACTTCTGATGTTATGATGACATAAACACAATATATTAATAAAGCAATTTTGATCCCTCTCCCTAGTCTTAAAGAGAGCATCAAAATAGGCAAATAGTTTCCCATATGTGGAAATATGAACAGGTTCAGATACAACATCCACATGAATACATCAAACAACATGGTGATCAGGGAGTTTCTGTATCCAAATAGAAAAACGCTTAAAATGAAATTGTAATTCTGACTTCTCTCTCGGTCCCACATTGGGTGCCAAGAAATGTGCTGGTTTAAAGGTAAACCGGCAGGAGAAATGAACCCAGCTCCAAAGAGATTATAAGTCAGTTACAATTTAATAAAAATAATACCATAAATACAATTATATGGACAAACAATTGGTTTAACCCACAAAATCCAGATGTATAACCCAGTACCCTGGGGCACAAACAGAGTGGTGTTCGTTGGCACCTGGGCTGAGCCCCACGTGGTCCCCCTGAGTCCAGAGTAAAAGGAGAGGGAAAACCTGTTGGTGAGAGTGCTGGTTGCAGTCTGGTCGAGGGTGGTGGTTGCAGTCCGGTCGAGGTTCTGGTCCTCCTCTGGATCTGACGAATGGCACCAGAAGTCCCAAGACCCCAAGACTATATACCCTCAGGTTCAGGCAGGAATGCCCAGTACCTCCCCCAGGGAGGGTAGTTCCACAATGGGTGATTGTGAGTAGTGGGTATGAGGACAGGAGCATCCTCCTATCTCACAGGTCTCTACCCCCACCTTTAGCCTTCGGGGCCAGGTGTACTCTGGGCAGCTGCTGCAAATGGTCTATTGTTAAAAGTTTCTGGGAAATGGCATGGAGGGTGTAGAATAAACAGTTTGGGTTACACCCACACAGTGATGAACTGGTCCCAGTTGTTCTAACTAGGACAACTGTAGGAGACATATCCAAGGCACGGGGGACGTACCAGGGCTGAGAAACCCAAAGGAGCATGCATCTAAGTGGATAACCCTATTGGTTAGAAGGTCACATGCTATCAGGGTATAAAGGGAAGCGCCAAATTTGAAATAAACCTCTTTGTCTCACCACCTCACAAGGAGCGTGTTCATTCTTTACCATGTAAAGTACCCGCAATGCTACACATGGTGCACCCAAACATGGGACTTTTTTAACTTATATTAAGTCAGTTTAGATTATCCTGAATCAGGAAATTCGACGGTAGATTCCGGTTATCGAGTCGATTATTCCAACACGGGAATCTTTTACTGCAAAAAAACCCAGACGTCTATAACCCGTTATCTCAGTTGCATATGAGAAACGGAAAGTTAGTTTAGGAGTTCCCAAATATTAGGAAAAGTGCACAGGAACGAGAAGAAGAACGAAGAAAAGAAAAAACCAACAGATCGAAGCGGTCGGAGAGGGCAGACCGGACTCCGACTTATGCAGTGGCACATCTCACGCGGCAAGGACTTTTCCCTAACTGGTCTGGTACCCGCAGCTCGGAGACCCAGGCGGCGGAGCACCTTAAAACTGCCAGGGGAAGCCCCGCTACCTGCTGCTTGCCATGGTTCAACCGTGTGCATGAAAAGTGACTCCGTCGCTGCTGCCTCTAATATCCTCTGCCCAGTAAAAACTGACACAACTCCCACCCGCCTGCCGCTCCTGTTGGCTCTGCTCCGCGCTTAAAAACCGTACCGCGACCCCGCCGCGTCACATTCAAACTTCGCGGGACCAGCTGAAGGCGCCGCATCGCCACTTCCCGCTGCAGCGCCCGAAACCCCTGCACCGCACAGCGATCTTGGAGCCTGCCACCAAGCCAGCGCCTGCCGAGCCCGACCAACACCAGCCACCTGCCCCGCGCTCACAGCCCGAACCGAGGACCCCAGTCGCACCCGGAGCCACCCAAGCAGCCCCGCGCCCCCCCACCGCAACTGGAGTAGCCCCGAAACCCCCACAGAGACACCGAGAAGAAAAACCTCAGAGAAACGACTACCGGAGAAACCGAAACTGCTACACAAAGGAACTCCCAACCATGTGCGCCAGCAGCTGCCTGGAGCTAAGGTAACATAAGATGCTTTGTTTCCATAGAAACCTCACAGAGACATTGAAACATTTACTTTACTGCTAAAATCTTACCATATTCTGAACCAAGACACACACACAAACAATTACCAAACTTGCAACATAGTAACAGAAACTCACGGGACATACTGGGGGGAGGGACGGGAACCGTTCGTGAGTTAAACTGTGGGTCGAGAGCCGGGAGCCGGGGTAGTACGGGTCACTGGGAAGAAACAAAGCCGATATGCTAGATCCCCGCCCATTGGATCAACGCAGGGAACTCTGTTACAGTCATGAGGGAGGTAATCCAGCATATTTACCACCCCACGCTGCAGATGAACAGCGACCACATGTCTCAGATTTGGCGCAGCCATGTTGCCCGCCAAACTGACCGGACACCGATCCTTCTCTTCCGACCCCAGCACAGCCCCATCCCACCCACAGACACAAAGGGGAAAGCAACCCCGCCCCCTACCCACCGCCCACCACCCCCCCCCCACAGGGAACCGGGTTCACTAGAACCACGGGGGGGAGGAGTAGGGGTTAGGGAGAAGGAACCAAGGATGGTTCCACCGGGAGGGAACGAAGAGGCAAATGGAGGGAGGTCAGTTAACATGTGGGAACAGTATCTGGACAAGGCACTTCGAATGGGAAGCTTGAATAATATTCAGGCGTGCTCAAACGAATTTAACCAAAACCAGTCCCCTCAACTTCAGCCCCTGTATGGAGCTACAGAGAAACTGAGGCATTCGGTAAAAGATACTGGCATGTCTTTGATAAATACCGTAGGGTACTTAGAAACATTGAGTTCCATCTATTTTTTCACCCCACATGACTGGAAAGAGCTAATGAAATTAGTTCGTAATGACACCCAATATACAGTCTGACTATCTGGCTTTCGGGAAATTTGTGCCAAATACGCAGCAGTTAACACCCAAGCAAGCATAACAGCACATCAGTTAACCGGGGATGCAAATTATAGTTCAATAGATACACAATATAAATACCATAGAGAGATATGCGGTGTAGTGGCCAGGCAAGCCCTAAAAGCTATGAAAAACATTCTCACTACAAACCAAGATGATTACCTGTCCCCCACAAAAGTGTTACAAGGTTGTACAGAACCAAATTTGAGATGTTTAGACCAGCTGCAGTCTGCTTTAAACAAGCAAGTTGAATACAATGAAGCCAGAGAGATGTTGTATAGGCAATTGGCTTTTGAAGAGGGGAACACAAGCTGTAGGGGAGCTTTGCAAACCCCTCCTGCAGGGGAAGGCTGCAACATTACTGAGCTAATTCAACCCTACCAAAGAGTTAGCT